ACTTTACATGCGTTACCGCTAGTACGAGCGCGCATGCTTACGCTACATCACCCCACTAAGAGTGGATGATGGGTTTACAATTTTCTTACGTAATCCTAAATTTATCATACTTCTTTTTCTTTCTTTTTTTTTTTTTCATTATTTTATTTTATTCTTATGTCTAGCTCCTATTCGTTCCCTATTAAAGAAAATTGTGAACCTGTCATTCATTCACTCAAATTTTTGGAAATTTTTACTATTTTGTATTTTTTGTTTTTGTGTTAAGATTTTTATAATTTTTTTTTTTTTATTTTTATTTATATTAAAATTAAAAATAAAATTGACTCTACTGAATGTTGATGTCTTAATTAGAAATTTGGAATAAACTTAATATAACGCCACTCTATTTTTGTGGATTGTATATTTTTTATTATTAATATCTAACTCTACATTTTGTCCCAAAACTTGAGAAACTTCATATGGTCCCTCGAAAATAAATTTGAACTTCTCATAGGGTTCTCTTTTAATTTTAACCATGTCACCTAATTTTAAGTTAATGGGGTTTGAATTTTTGTCATAGTTTGTCTTGTTTTTGTCTTTTAGCTTGTTAATCAGTTGGGTTGTCTCTTTGTAAATTGTCTGTAGTTTTAATTTTGTCTCTTTGACGTAATCGTCGATGTTGTACAGTGGTTCAACATTGCCATTCAGTATTTCGTTTGGCATAGTTGACCGTCTTAAGAACAAAACTTCAAATGGGCTGAATCGTTCACCTAAGCCACTATTCTTCGAGATATTGTATAGAAACTGGAAATATTTAGTGAATGTGTCCCAATATTCCATTTTTCCGTTCAAATATTGACGTAAATACTCATTTAGCGTCCTGTGACTTCTTTCGATCATTCCCACAGTCTCATGATGGTATGCAGTAGAAAAACTTTGTTTGACATTTAACAATTTACATAGTTCTGCGCTTATATTATTTTTATATTCCGTACCCAAATCTGATTTAATTATCTTCATTGGGCCGTATATTAAAATATGATGTTCAAATAGCGCTCTTGCCACTTCTTGTGCTGATTTATTTCTTGTTGGTACTATGTTTAGCCATTTTGACATTTCGTCGATTATCGTTATTGCGTATATATTATCATTGTTGGATTTTGGTAGCGGTCCAATCGTGTCGATTTGAACTACATCAAATGGTCTACACGGTGTTGGTGTGATAGCCATTTTTTCTTTCGTGTATTTTCCTTGTTTAGTTAATTTACAGATTTTACAATTTTTTACAAATTTCGCGATGTCTCGCGTCATTCGATTCCAATAGAAATTTTCGCGTAGTTTGGCATACAATTTTTTTT